CTTCTCCAGTTTTTTTTCGTGTGTTTCTGTCAGTCTCAGATGATCTTCAGCACAGTCTTGTGTGTGTTTGTGTGTAGATCATGGCTCTTCATCGACTCTTCCACCTGTCGTCCCTGTTGCGCTCGGCTGTGAGCGTGACGCTGCGCAGGAACATCGGTCTGTCCGCCGTCCTCTTCAACAAAGCCAGAGACCTGGATCCTGTGCAGAAGCTCTTCCTGGACAAGATCCGCGAGTACAACACCAAGAGCAAGTGTGTGACCAGCCGTGTATACTGATCAACATGTTCATCTCACGTCATGTGAACTGTCATTGACAGTGGTTTTCACTGGTTCTGTGGTGTCGTAGGACCGCTGGCGGTGTGGTTGAAGCCGGTCCGGTCTATCAGAAGAACCTGACGGAGGAGATGACCAAACTCCAGCGCTTATATGGAGGAGGAGATCTCACCAAATTCCCTCAGTTCAAATTCCCAGGTGAGTTTGAGACGCTGAAGAGCTGCTGACTGAACGATCACTTCATGATGATTGAAGCTCTCATACTGTAGAAACTATTTTTTAGTTTAGGCGATATGTAGTGCTGGGCGGTATACCGGTTCATACCGAATACCGGTGTTTATTTTTGTTATGATATGAATTTTTAAAATACCGCAATACCGGTGGTGTATGTCGCTTAAACAACGTTCGGAACGCGACACTGTTTGAAAGGTGTCCCTTTTCACTGTTGCACTGTAGTGAGGCTCTCTACGTTTAAAAAATAAAAATTAGAAGAGTTCTAAACTAAAAAATGACATTACCAAAGAACATCATCACAAGCTCAGTCTAGCGCGGGTTTATGCACTTTAAAAACACTCCCGTTAAACTCTCTACACTATATGATGAATAAATCTCTTATACTTACATCGTACGTACATCTGCACTTTGTTGTTTATAATGAGAGAATTCGCGAGTCAGAATTCAGTCAGCGCGCGCTGAACAACACAACTCTGCTGTTTCAGTGATGACTCATCTGAACGCCTCTGATTGGACATTGCTTTCATAAGCTCAGCATAATCGTGATTGTTTAGAATGCGCAATACTGTAAAAACGCGGAAAAATAAATATAGGCCTAATGCAACAAATAAGCCCTAATATTAATTAGATAGTATTACTAGCCTGATAATAATACTAATAATAATCATCTTGCTATCGTCAAAGGCATCAGCCACAGGTGATATCTCTGACTATCGTCGATACACGATACTATCAGCATAATCGTGTGTGATTGGTTAAAACGCGCAATACTGTAAAAACGCGGAAAAATAAATATAATGCAACAAATAAGCCCTAATATTAATTAGATAGTATTACTAACCTAATAATAATAATAATCATCTTGCTATCGTCAAAGGCATCAGCCACATGCGATATCTCTGTCTATCGTCGATACACGATACTATCGTCTATCGGCACAACCCTAGTGTACGGCACCTTGGTAATTTGTGGTTTTTACAGCGCTTTAAATACATTTTAATTTTACACTTCACTATTTGAAATAAATGTTAACTGAAATATAAGTAACTTATTTTAAAGCTTATTTTATTTCTGGTAGTTGCCATGTCATTTAGTTTAATTGATGTATTAGAATAACTGAAAACTAAATAATTAAGTTCCTGTGGCTCAGTGGTAGAGCATTGTGTTAGCAGCGCAGAAGGTTGTGGGTTCGATTCCCAAGGAACACACATACTGGTAAAAAATGTGTAGCCTGAATGCACTGCAAGTCGCTTTGCGTCTGCTAAATGCATAAATTATTATTATTTAAATTATAAAATTATTATAAATTATAAATAAAACTAATAAATAAAAACTAGACATATTTTTTTTTTTAAACTACTAAAACTTATTTAAAAAAACGAATTCAAAATATGAACAAAAATCATTGATAATAAAGTTATTAGTAGTAGTATTGTTGCAGTTTGTATGCTTTATATACAGTGGGTACGGAAAGTATTCAGACCCCCTTAAATTTTTCACTCTGTTATATTGCAGCCATTTGCTAAAATCATTTAAGTAAAGCTTATTTTATTTCTGGTAGTTGCCATGTCATTTGGTAGAGCATTGCGTTAGCAGCGCAGAAGGTTGTGGGTTCGATTCCCAAGGAACACACATACTGGTCAAAAATGTGTAGCCTGAATGCACTGCAAGTCGCTTTGGATAAAAGCGTCTGCTAAATGCATAAATTATTATTATTAAATTAAATTATAAAATTATTATAAATTATAAATAAAACTAATAAATAAAAACTAGACATATTTTTTTTTTATTAAATTTTATTAAATTTTTATTTTTTTTAACTACTAAAACTTATTTTAAAAAACGAATTCAAAATATGAACAAAAATCATTGATACTAAAGTTATTAGTAGTAGTATTGTTGCAGTTTGTATGCTTTATATAACCTAAGCAGCTAGATGTATAAACAAATAAATATTTGATATGTACTAATAAAATAGTCCATTGGGAAGCCCAAGTCACACAATGAATGAAATCAAATCTTTAATCATGAAATAAAAGCAGGATGATTCTCACCTGAACTACAGTAACAGATTATTAAACTACATGATTTATTGGATCAGTGCTTCTGGAAGATTGGTTTAGGTTTGATGCATCTAGTCAAACTAAACCGTGATCTGGATAAAACGTTTAACTGAAGCTGCTCCTAGTTTATTTTGTCCTTTAGGTTAGTTTGGTTGCTTGAACTTGTTGTTGGCTTGTTAATCTTTGTTAATGACTGACCTACACATTTTCCATGTTGTTGTTTCCACAGAACCCAAACTAGAGGAGGTGACGACAAAATGAATGCCTTCTGTCCATTGCTGTCTGTGTGCTGAAAATATGAACTCAATATTTAATAAACAGTCTGGTTCAAAAATCAGTTCGTCTGTGTGATGCTGCGTTTCATACATTGATTTACAGCCTGGGTTTCTTCAAATCACATTCCTGAACATTTGTTTATTATGATTTTTCCAATTAGGTAAAATACATTGTTTAATATTTTTAGTAACTCTTTACGATAAGATCTTGTTCATCATTGCTTTACAAAAATTAGTGAACAAGTAACAATAAACGGCACTTATGAAAGGGTTAGTTCACCCAGAAATGACTAAGGTGTTCGTTTTCAAACCCAAAGACTTAGTTCATCTTCAAAATACAAAGAATATTTGTAATATTTACTTCAGGGTTATTGTGGTTAACTAAAATCATAAAAACATGGTACTTGAAATCAACATTAACTGAAAAAAAAAACTGTTTTTAATTTAAAATACTAAAATAACTAAAACTAACATTGAAAAAAAAAACTAAACCTAAAAATGGACAAAAAATAAAAACGACAAACACATTTACAAAAAAAAAATCTAAAAATATTGAATAAAAATACTATATTAAAATACTATTTTTGTCCGTTCTTTTATGGATAAAGTATTTAATTTCAATATTTAATTTGATTTAAAAATGTATCACTAAATGTTGAAATAACCATTAATAAATGCGGTAGAAGTTTTGTTAATCGCTAGTTTAACACGTTAACAAATGCAATTTAAAAATGTATTAAAGGGACGGTTAACAAACTTTAACAACATAATTTTCACAGCATTTGTAAAGCTTAATGTTGAAAATATGATAGTTTGTGAAAGTATTATTAACAACAAATGAAACTTTATTGTAAAACTTTTAACTCGTTTCCTTCCTTTCGGTCTCATAATTTGGGAATTTTGTAGTTGAGCACTTCTCATTTCTCAATCACTTTTGGATAAATGCATCAGCTACAAATAAATGTTCCAATTCAGACAAAAACTCAAAATATTTTATTTAAAAAAAAAAAAAACACAAATATTGATCAAATATACAATAATTCACCCCATTCCATGATTCCCATCATCACACTCAGTAGATAGACAGAGACATGATTGAGTTGAAATGAAAGGCACGACGTGTCAAATGTCATCAATCAGACTCTCAGCTTGTTTAAAGGCACCAGTCAAACACTTCAGTCGCTCCAGTTTATTTGGTTCACTCCTTTGATGATCCGCTTCATCAGAGGCCTTTGGAAGATTATTATTGCAATAGAGAGAGCAAATGTTATTGTGTTCGTCCAGCTGGAGCGAGTTTCTTCTTGGTAGTTCCGGTGTCACAACAATTGCCATCCATCCGTCGTCTTCACATCACAGCATGAACGACTGAGTGTGTTTGAAATCCTGAGGCTGAAAAAAATAAATAAAATCATTCAGAATGATATTTCTGTACATTATTGATTTGCTTAATATAAATTCAATTACAAAAATAGTGTATAAAGAAAAATGTATAGATTAAAATAAAATGTATTCAAATTAATAATAAATATTTAAATACATTACAGTACTATATAGTGAGCACAGCAGGGGGAAAAAGTAAACAATGTCTTGCAATTCATATTTTACACATTTATATTAATTCTTCACAGTATAAACTGGGCATTTATACAAAAATATATAGTCTTTGTATTTATTTTATAAATAATGTTTTATACATTTATTTTAGGATGGGGCTATTTGGGGGTACAGTAGTATCTAAATTAGGGATGCACCGATACTTTTATGTAAGTGAGGATAGCAAAATAAAGTAAACTGACAAATTATACCCAAAAATTCTGCATAAAGTGGACTACCAGTAAAACTGATACAAATTTGGGACCAAAAATTATTCAGACTGAGTCTGGGAAAAAACATTGAAGTTGAGGTTTTCATGAAGCTGGGTGACAGCATGCCCAGGAGACTATATGCTGTCATTAAGGCTAAGTATTGATAGTTGTGTTAATATTGTCATACTAACAGCTGTCTGAATTATTTTTGGTTGATTGTAATCTATTACATACCTTTCTATCAAAGTTATCTAACATTATCAAGCTGAGTTTGTTCTGGCAGTGTAACTGAGTTCTTGTTATATTTTATTACCATTTTCTAAACTATAGCGAATAAACTGTGATAATGTGAGAAATGTTGAAGGTGTCTGAATAAATTTTGGTTTGACTGTATCTATTTGATAAATGAAGTTAACCAACTAACATTATACATACCCTTTTGGTTTCTGTACCCAATATTTTAAAAATGTACAAATGCAATAAAAATATTGGTATCAGTATCGGTATCGACAAGTACCAAAAATAAAAGTATCGGGCGAGTACTGGAAAAAGTGGTATCGGTGCATCCCTAATCTAAATGGTTAAAACCCCCTGGTCTCTGGTACAGAACTGTAGGATACTGACAGAATCGAGGGTCAAATTCGATTCTGTCGAATCGAATTTTTATTAATGATATTAATAAATATCATTATTAATGATAATGATTCAATCAGTCTGAGTTTATAAGAGTTACAAGTGTATAAATGTACCAACTCAAAAGAAAAAGAAAAAAAAAATTCATTTTTTTAAAAGGAAAAAAGAAATGAATTGTTGCTGTTTATTACTACATTTCTAAAATTGTTGTTTATTTAAATGTCGCTGTTATTGTTTATCATCATAAATGTATAAATTGTAATTTGGATATCAGATGGTTAGTAGAAACACCGGTTTGTACTCAGTGAAGTGACTGTTAATTTGAGTTGGTATAAAAATATCACTCACTTCCTTCGGAGGATGACTGTAGCCTGAATGTTGACTGAAACACAGAAAATAACAGTTAGACACTGAAACAATCACATGATTATGCAAGGAAACAAAATCCCCCAGAGCAAACTCTCTCTCTCTCTCTCTCTGTGTCGGTCTACAGTCACTGGTGTTTCTCTCTGTGGTTTGGCTCTGCCGTGACTCACGTGTGTTCGGTTCTGTGGAGGTTCTGGCTGCTAATGTGAGCCGTGCCATGACACTGCGCGATCCAGAATGACCTGTAATAATGTACCGCTGAGGTCAAAGGTCAAACACTACCATCTGCCGCTGACGGAAACACACACAGAACGCCATGCATAATCATGGGAATCAGTGAAGGCCGAGCCATTAATCCATCACATGCGACTCAAAACTCTCCTGTGTTAACCGGATCAAACGAACGCACACTAACTAAAACAACTCAAAAACGTCTGATCAGAACACAGACGGCCATCTGTTCAACTTCCTGTGCTTCTGGATCAACCAGGATGATTAGCACACACACACACACACACACAGTCAGTCTGTTAGTTAAGGCAGTAAACTAGTTGTCTTACCTTCCTCTGTGTCCTGTGTATGATGGTATTAAAGGTTCAGGTCGGTCAGAAACAGAAATGAAAAGAAAGTCAAAATGTAAAAACAACTTATTAAATATGAACATTAATAAGAGTCTTTCTCAGGAAATTTAACTAATAATTCACTCCTGATATAATGAACCACACTGAGTGTTATTACCATAAAACTAACACTTATTAAAAACTGTTTTCTTTAACTATAATAAAGCTGAAATAAATGAAATGTTCTTGTAAGTACTAAAACTGAAAAAAAAAAAAGCTAAATAAAAAAATGTAAAAATATAAATTTATATACATTTTTCTTTTTGCAAAAATTCTGTTCATAATTTTCACCACAGAGGGGCAGTAAAATCCTGAAGTTGAAAAAAAATGTTTTTTTTTTTCCCCGGGAAAGGTTTGAGCTGGACTTGACATTATTAAAGTATAAATTATAATGATTTACTCAGTTTGAGTTTAGAGTTGAAAGTGTGTAAATGTATCTATTCATAAAATAAAATTTAATTAGAGGAGAAACTGATACTTTGTACCACTCTAACCTTACATTTACAATTAACATTATTTAAAATAAAACTAAATGAAAAAATATAAACATTTTTAAATAAAAATGAAAACTGAATATAAAAATAGATTATTCAAAATATGAATAAATATTATAATAGTATAACACTGCTCTATAACTATTTGGTAACACTTTACAGTAAGCTCTCATTTATTAACATTGTTATTTTATGTTAGTAAAAGCATTTAAAAAATGAACAATACATTTTTATGGCATTTATTAATCTTTGTTATTGCTAGTTAATAGAAATGCTCATCTTCATGTTAGTTCACAGTACATTAATGATACAACTTTTGATAATAATGTATTAGGACAATACATTTTTATGGCATTTATTAATCTTTGTTATTGCTAGTTAATAGAAATGCTCATCTTCATGTTTGTTCACAGTACATTAATGATACAACTTTTGATAATAATGTATTAGTAAATGTTGAACCTAACACTATTTATGTTTTAATAGATATTAAAGGGGTCATATGATGCTTTTTTAAAGATCATTATTTTGTGTATTTGGTGTAACAGAATATGTTGACATGCTTTAATGTTCAAAAAACACATTATTTTTCAAATACTGTACATTATTGTAGGTCCTCTATGCCCCGCCTCTCTCAAACGCTTCGTTTTCTACAAAGTCCCTCCTTCCGACAAGCGCAGTCTGCTCTGATTAGCCAGCTGACCCAGTGCATTGTGATTGGCCGAACACCGCAAGCACTCGTCGGAAATGTAACGCTCCTTACCATAATCGCGAGCTTCATCTTTAGTGATGAAGCTGGTATGTGTTTGTGATGTGACCCCCCCCCTCTCGCTCTCAATTCAATTAAATTCAATTGAGCTTTATTGGTATGACTTGCACAGTATTGCCAAAGCATTGTCCATTACATGAATAAACAATTATATAATACATAAACAAAACAACAATAGATATGTAAAATAATTAAGTAAATAAGTACGTGTACTTTCTTTTTTTTTTTTTTTCACAAACAAGAAAAAAAGGAAAACTTGAAATCGCATCATATGACCCCTTTAATAGATGCTGTATAATTATTGTTCATGCTACCTAATATGTTAACAAATGAAACCTTATTGTAAAGTGTTACCCTATATTTCTTTTGGACATA